AAGAGAAAAACATCAAATTCTCCACATAGGTATACCAATAACTGTAGTGAGGATATGTTGGTGATCTTGAGAATAGACTGAGATGGTCAATATTATAGGATTGTCTTTGAAAGTTTACCGGTGATACCAAAGGCTCTCAGTAGTACCAAGGCTGAACTAATTTCTAGACAGTAACATGGAGTCTCAGGAATGGAACATTCTTGAATTGGACCTGGGCCCAGCCATTCGTGAGTGGATCCACCATGTCAGAAATACTTGATCCTCTTCATTTAAAATAGTAAAAAATTTTAGGGTTTCCAGTCACACCTGTAACATCAGGATTTCCCTGGTCCACATTAATATCTATTTTTAATATGTGTCTTCTGTCATTTTGATGAGTTAAAAATTTTATTATAGTCAATTGTCTAGTCCAGACCATAACAATTTATTTGGCAAATACTTATTAAGTCTTTATGATCCTCCAGTTTATATATAGTCAAGAGATCACCTTCCTGAGCCTCTAGGTTGCTAAAGGAAACTGAATATTAAATATTTAAATAGAATTCACTCAAATTCATATCATAATATGGTGAGAAATCCAGAACCTCCCAAAATATCTTTGAAGATTATGGAAGATTACATGTAAATGGGGGTTCTATGATCCCATTTTCTACTTTTACTTCATCTCACTTTACATGCTATATTTCTTTCCTCTTTTCCTACATTGTTCTTTGCTGTATCAAATCCCCCTGTAGAAACCACTGTGCAAATCTATCATTTCCCACATTTGACTGACAAGTACTTGGGTGGATTCTATCACCCCTTCTAATATTCTGCAATATTCTCTTTCAAATTAATGATTTTTACTTTGCTGTCTGTGGAGTAATTTAATTCTTTTCTTTTGACCTCTCAGAGGACTGCCAATTCCAAGTGTACTGGTTGTGCCCCGTACAGCTCTAGCAGATGCCATTCATACCAGAATCTATGTGAGCAGAAGCTCCTGGTGTCAAGCAATTCTCAAGCTCTCTGGATGTACCTAAGGCCTCTAACTATCCAGTAGCCTGCAACACTCCCAGGCTTATTTTATATCTTTCATGCTATGATTTCTAAACCTTAATTATGTATTTCAGTTTGTGTATGTCCCCAGCAAAACTTTGGCTATTTATTTTACAGAAGATCAGGTGGAATTCTACTCTTGCAGTTTTCTGAATCCATACTCCTACTATCATTTTGCAATGCTGTAGTAGTCCTTCTCTGTGTTGTGCTGTCTGGCTGAGTGGTGCAAGCCTTTCTTGCTCCAAGACTATATCCATGTATAGGTCAGGATGTGATGGCTATCTTTAAGGAAATATCCAAGAAGTGGGTGCTTACACAGGATATAGATATGTAGGGAGTAGAGATCTGAAATATTATCTGACATTGAAAGAGTTTGTAGAGGTAATACTAGGTGGTGAGTGGACACAGCAGTGGGATTTTGGTTAAGCTTAGTTCCCTTCTCTCTGACAAGCCCTGAATCCTGGGGAGACCGAGATTCAAAGTGGCAGTATCCTGAGGAGGAGAAAAAAAAAAAACTTTGTGAATTCCTCCACTTTGAGGACAGAATTGGTTCTGGAGTGGAATGTTTAGATGAGTGTCAAGTGGCAGTATCCAGGCAGTTCAATAGTATCCACTAGCACTTTGAAAATTTAAAATATAGCTAATCTGAATTGAAATGTGCTACATATAAAATAAGCACTATATTTTGATTTTTTGAAAATATTGTAAGCTAGCACAATTAGAATACTTTTATATGGATTATATAAATGAGGTCTCTAATTCTTTCTTATTTTACCTATATAGGTTAAACTATATAATTAATTTTACTTGTTTCTATTTTTAAAATGTTGCTTTCAGGAAATTTAAAATCAGATGTGCATTTTGCATGATACTTCTACTGGATGGCAATGTTCTGTGTCATGAGGAGTGAAGTCACAGGATGTCAGACAGAGTGTTCAGTTTCTCTTAATCACTATTTTAATCTTGCCTCCTCTATCCCAAACTAGGATTTTATTTACCATTTGTTGAACATCAACTATTTTCCATATATTTTTAATTTAATGTTATTTCTAATTATTGTAAGAACTGTAATAACGGATAATATTATACTCATTTTTAAGAGAAGAAAACATCCACTTAGAAAAACAATACACTATAACTGTAATCAGGTGTCATATTGTCATATTTGTTATCTGTTTGAATATATGTGTTATGCCAAATTTATAATTTTACACATTTAAAAGAAAATAGAGTTCAAAGAAGTCTAACTGTTTATTCAAGATCACATGCCACATGTTACGGAGTATATTTCTACTCTTGGCTGACTCTACAGCTTGTGATTTTTTCCACCATCTACACCGATGAGCAAGTTCACATTGTTTTCTGAACATTATTAAGACTCCATGGTTCAAACAAAGGAAGTGAATGGCTTTTATTTAATCAAATATTATGATTATCATTGGTTTGACACTTTTCCTGTTAGAACTAATATGGCCCCACTTTTACTACTTACTATATAGGATGTGTCATTTGAGACCCTAAAGAGCATCTTTGTCTCAGCACTCCCCTTGGTTGAATTAAATTCTGATAAAATGCTTGTTCTCACCTCACCCTCACTTTTTACCCGAAGGCAGCTGATGTAGGTCTTCAGACTTCCTGGAACATTGTGCAGCTATGTGCTGGTGGTAGCAGTAGCTGTTGGGGAAAATGCACCTATTACGTGTTCACATGGGGGAAGAGACATCAGGAAAGCCCTGGCTTTCCAGTGATCTCAATTGGCCAAGGATTCATAAAAAATTAAGAAGCAAAATAAATGCTCCTTTATGATCAATGCTAGTTGATGTAATTTTTCTTATTAGCATATAGAATACAAATAGGAAGACCAATAGCAGACATTACACGAATAACTGCTTTCAGTTAAGAGACCTGGAATTCTTACTGTAACCTTGAAACCTAAGTACTACCATCTTTAAGTAAGAAAGGTAGGATTCTCAGGCTGAAGATCCCCAGGGAGCCTCAAAATGGTGCTTCAGCCTCAAAATGGTTCTTCCGGTTTATTTGGCCTCATAGAACTCTTTTTGTTTTTATAGTGCAATTAATCTTACCGAAAAGGGAAACTTTGAAGTAGTACCAATTTCAATGGATGTTTATTGTTTTTACCTTTGCCTCTGGAAGCATAATGCATTGTTATAATTGTCTGAAAGTCAAGAGTATAAAGTACCTGACTTGCTCTAGGGAGATTAAACAAGCTTCAAAGAAAATCTAGTTTAGCTGTCCTCCATATTAAATTATGATATTTATATTTCATGCATCTTAAATGTCAAGCAAGCAAAAAATTAAATCTCAGTCCCCCATTTCCACCCACCTTTTACTATGTACAGAAATATATTCAATAAAAGGATTTTGACTTTTATTAAGTTTTCTTTTTTTCTTAATATAAGGAAACTATCAAGTTCAAAAACATAAAACATTATTTAGTATAATATATGTAAAAGGAGTTAAATAATAACATGAAAGTGACATTATTAAATAACCAAATGATAAAATTGAAGACAGATTGGTATGTGTTAAAATGGAAAGCTTTTCCATAGATAGCGTCAAACTAAGAAAATTTAAAGTATATGAAGTTCACAAATGTGGAAAGAGTCTAGTAAAATTACTTTGGGGAATTCAGAATAAATCCTAAACTTTAAAAGTGACAATGATAGCATAAGAAGAATAAATATAGGGCTTTGCTGTTTTTAATATACCATAAATTATTTCTAATATATGTTGTATAATACTACAAATTTCACATTTATTATGGGTTGAAAAATGTCTCTAGCATTGCATACATGTAAATATTACTTACTCTAAAAGAGAAGACTTCAGAGCCAAGGGACTGAGGTGTCAGTGGGGTTATGTTAACATCAGATAAAATAAAATCAACCCCCCATTTATCTCCACTGAAAAGACTGGTGTAGCAGAAAGAGAAGGTGTGAGGAGTCCAGTGTGACTGGAATCTTTGTATTTTCCAGCTTGAAAATTGTTATTGTCAGCAATAACAATTCACTTGACCACTCTGAACCACAATAGCTTAAAATTTAAAAATGGGTATATTGAACCCATTATATTATCATGAAGCTTCAGTTAAACTACAATGAAATTCTCAGCATACAAACTGTGAAAATTTTAAAAAAATATATTAATTTTTCTTTGGTGGTTTTACTGAGAAAAGCAAATGAAAATAGAAATAATCTCCAGTTATCTTCTTTTATATCTTATTATAAATTTCTGGCATAATTTCATATGTTCATTATGATTAGTATTATTCACCATTTTAAAGGCTTTTTAGAATATTTTCCTTTAAAAATAATAGAGACACAATGTCCTTGATAATTATAGTGACTTGTATTTGTATCAAAATGCCTCATATTTTTCACTTTCTCTTAAATCAATCATGTGTTTGTAATTTGTGTCCAAATTAGATTATAATCTACTTGAGGTGGGGGGAGTTTTCCTAGTATTCTATAATATCACAGGCAGTTTCTGTTTGCAAGAAAACTCATTAATCACTTCTATGTGGTGAGTAAAAAATAAAAACCTACTTGGACTAATATGTTTAAAACTTTACTTTCTAAGATAATTTTTGACTGTTTACTTTCATTTCATAAATCTCCATTGTCCATGAAATTAAGTACTAGACTGACTAAAGCTCATCTGGAACATGGGTCCATAATTGCCTTTCAGAGCATCTGGCAGCTCCTTAAAGATATCCTACTTACCTACAGAAAGGCCTGCATGCCTGCTGCTCAGTTGCTATGCTCCATTCTCAAAGCCATTGATTCTTTACTCAGACTCTCATTTTTAGTGACTATCATATCCAATGGCTGTGTTTGAAATCCTACTTCATTCTTCCAAGAACATCCCAAAGTATGGATCTTACCTTTTCTATTTTTTCCTCTCCTTTAAAACCTTGTTGTACTTTGGTTTATTCTTTCCCACAGAGCTTACAGATGCGACAGACTTATAATGGACTTTGGAGATTATCATAGTCTACTGACCCATGGAAGGAAGCAGGATGTTGTTTTGACACTCAATGAACAAACTACAAATAATTCTGTTGAATCAAGTTTCCTAAAAGGTTGTCCTTGAATCCTTCTTTGCCTCTTCAAGTCTGAATATGTCTACCTTTAGCTGTTTGTGCATTTCTCTGTCTTCATATTCATTTTATGGCCTTGAACCTCTTCACTGGTTTCCCAGTGATTCCCCATAGTCCAGAGTCTCCTGGATGTCTTCTAAGCACATGGCCTACACAGTACCTTACAAATAGAAGACTCTGTGTAATAAACAAATGCAGCATCTGATTGTTGAATCACTCTCAAAGTCCATTTCTCATGAATCTTACACCTCATAAGTAGAATTAAAATAAGTATCTCATGTCAGATCTGATGTTTTAGTTGTCTTGTTGTCACATTTTGTTTCTCTTGAAAATTCAAAGAAAATTTAGCTGATTATTTCATAACTTACCTTAGCAGTTTTTGCTTATGCATCTATCAATGGATACTCAAAACAGTAAGTGGGTAAATGGGAAGGATGGGGTTTACCTTTCGAAGTAGCATCTGGGGCTGGGGATGTGGCTCAAGCAGTAGCGCGCTCGCCTGGCATGCGTGGGGCCGGGGTTCGATCCTTAGCACCACATACAAACAAAGATGTTGTGTCCGCGGATAACTAAATAACTAAAGAATAAATATTAAAAAAATTCTCTCTCTCTCTCTCTCTCTCTCTCTCTCTCTCTCCCTCTCTCTTTAAAAAAAAAGTAGCATCTGAACAAAAAATTTCTACAATAAACAGACACTATTTTAGTAGTAAAAAAATACTCCAGCAAGTTCTTTGTTTTTGCTTTAAGAGAGTTGAAAGTTAGAAGCAAGATTTGATGTTTGAACATTAGCAGACAACATGCAGTGCAGAAGTATCTACAATGAACCTTAGTAATTGTTAATTTAACTCAATACATTTTTTTATTTAACTAGTTTTCACTTAGTTAAATTTAACTAAGATCTGATAATTAAATTTAATTATAAATTTTGATTTCTGTTATTTATTTCTGATTTTGTTAACAATTAACCATTGTAAGTCTGAAGAATACCCTTATTAAAAAAATATTTCAAAGCTTTTAGGCTTTAGACTTCACACTGAATATAATTTTTTTTTGTTTCAGAAGGGTTTCACTTTGCATGTAATATTTTATTAATAAGTGATATTCTTTCAGAGATAATCATTAGAAGTTTAATATTATTCAATAAATGTGTTTCTGTGTTAAAATATTTTTATGAATAAAATCATTTTAACTCAAGTGAGTTATTCTCTTTAACTCTTATAAGAAAAACATAAAGTATATTGCAATATTAATAATACCCTCCACTTTATCTGTAGAGCAAATTTAGGTTTTCATTGATTGTAATTTGTTCCAGAAGGAGATCCCAAGTACTGTAAAATTAGATTCCATTTAAAATTATTTTATTTTGCTGATATAATTCATTATAAGAAAAGGCAATCAACTAAATTTTATGCAATCAACTTAGTGTTAAAGGCTGAATTTTCTATGTATGTTTTAATATTGATCTGTTCATTCTGTTCTGTTAGCCTCTTGTTACTACTTGTTACTACTCTAACTTCTTGCTTTCCCTTTCTAATACCCACACCTTCTAGACGAGTGGTCTAAAGGAAACGGTGTAAATTGTGAATCTCATCATAGAACTTCCATCAAGGTTTGTTGAAGAGTATATCTGTTGTCATTTTGTCACATCGTTGCTATAGAAACGAGAAATTAAAGGAAAAGGCATGATGCCTGCATTTTGAAGGAATATATAAAAATGTATGGTATGTCAGGTTGTAAAAAAATAAGTGCTTCTGGGAAATAGAAAGAAAAATAAAGAGTGTGAGGGAGGGTAGTGTGGGTGGGCATTAGTATTTGTACAGAGAGGTAAAAAAAAGTTTCACTGATCATATGGCATTTGAACAAACTTGAAGGAAATTAAGGCACACACAGTAGATGTCTGGGGAAAAAATTTCTAGGCTGAGGAATCAGCAAGAGCAAATGCCTTGGTATGAGAGCATGCTTGGAATGTCCCTGTCCAGGGATTTAGAGTAAAGCTATACAAAAGTGAGAGATGAAGTCAGAGAGGAGGCAGGGTGTGTCACTTGTGTGGGTCTTGTTGGCTCAGGCAATGAGAGACTGTTCTTGTAACAGAAATTTAAAGATGGAGTAGAACTTCAAAACACAGAAGTTCCATGATCTAACTTACATTTTAAATGGATTTTGCATTTTACATGACCTGGCTGCTCCATTCAGAACAGATTGCTGGGGAACAAGCTTTGAAATAAGAAAAGCAGTGAAAAAGGAAATTTCTTAATACAGGTAGGAGAGATACGATATTAGCTTAAAACAGGTGGGTGGAGATATCAGAAGTGAGATATCTGAATGAAGGTAGAAACAATAAGATTAGCCAAGTGAAGGTTGAGATAAAGAGAATAAACAGACTTTATTTTGGCTCAAGCAATTGGAAGAATGAATTTTTGCTTTATTGAGATAGGTAAGATTGTGAAAGAAGAAATCTTTGTTTTCCTGTTTGCCTAGAGAATGTCAATAATTAGGAATTCATTTTTAGCTTTTCAGCTTGAGATTATGATTAGATTTCCAGTTGGATGTGTTATGCATGCAACTAAACCTATTCATCTGGAGGGCAGAGGGGAGATTTGAACTAGAAACCTAAATTTGATTGGTAACAGCATATGGATAGTTTTAAAGCCATGAAGTAGGACATACTACTGAGGAAGTTAGAAGTAGATAGAATAGAAATAAGGATGCCATATAATCCTGGCAGTTTGGGAGGCTGAGGTAGAAGAATGGGAAGTTAAAAGCCAGCCTCAGCAACTTAGTGAGGTCCTCAGCAATGTAAGGAGACACACACACACACACACAAAGGACTGTGAATGTTGGGGATGTGGCTCAGTGGTTAAACAACCCAAGGTTAAATCCCTGGCACCAAAAAAAAAAAAAGTATGACAATGTGGAAGTGATTTTCCAATGTGTGTGTGGAGGGCAGATGAGGAGCAGCCAGGTAGGTAGAGAACCAGCAATGAAATGGTAACAGAGTTTATCCAATATTGCTGAGGGAGCTAAGGACTATCAACTATTAATTATAGAAATGAGTTAATTTTTCCCTTTGATGAAAGCTATTTTTATAAGGTGATGAAAATGATTAGAGTGAGTTTCAAAGTGAATAGAAGAAGCAGAACAGAGATAAGGGATGTAAGTAACTCTTCTGAGGAAATTTCTCTATAGGTGCTTTGAAAACAAGACAATGAATGGGACATTTTAGTGGGATTTATATTTTCATGTATGGTCAATGATGGAAATAATCCCATAGAAAAGAAAACTTTAATCTGGAGTAACAAGACACAATTGCTGGTCATTCAACGGAATAGGCAAGGAGTGGTGGGTTGTATCTATATGGAGGAAGAACTGGAGGGTTTGCCTTAGAGTCAAGGGAAGATTATCCACAGTGACAAAGAGAAGCCTGAGTGCGTGGGAACAGAGCTGGCTAGTTGGGAGATACTACGAAGGAATGTTGTGGAATTGGAAACAAGAGGAATTGGAGGGAAATGCTGGAGTCTGAGAGGGCAGGGGAAGCATTCTTGTCTGGGAACATCTAGAAGGAAGAGACTAAGGGAAATGAATTCAGATTTATGGGAAGCCCCAAGTTCCTGCTTTTTGTGTCAGAAACAGTGGCTTCTAAAGTTCATGTTCTCTCCCTAATTTCCTTGCAACTAGGTGTGGCCTGAGCACTGCCTTATATGTAGAAGTGATGTGTGATTTACAGGTCTAGCCTCCACACACCTTCTGTGAGCACCTTCATTCTGCCTTCCTCTCTGGCTGGCTGGAATGGAAATGACCCTTTAGACACACTTAAACACTGAAAGATCCAAGAGATCCAGACCTTCCCTAACTTGGCATCCCAAATCACCGCTCAGCTAAGAGGAAGTCTTGCTCCATTGACCTGCTATCTACACACCATTATTTCATGATTAAGAAACCAACTTTCCCTGTGCTTGTTCCAAAGGGGTAGTTTACTTTCTAGGGCAACTCTAGTTACTGTAACTAATTAATCCTTATTATGCTCATTTTTCCCCCTGGTATTTCCATGTTTATTCACCCTTTTTTTTTGTTTTATTTGGATTACTGAAAATTAACCTCCAAAACTATTTCATAAATTTATTTAACATAGAAAAATACTGTAAAAGTGTTTGAAAGGTAAAAATAACTAATGCAAGAAACATTAATTTAGTTTTATTAATTCTATTATTTTATATTATTTGCTATTTGCTTGTATTGTACATAGAACCTATTATTTATCTACTGTATATATTTGTATATTAGTTTCTTAAGACTGCCAAAACAAAATACCACAATCTGGGTGGTTTAAAGAATATAAATGCATTGTGTCAGAGCCCTGGCTCCTAGAACACCAAGACCAAGGTGCTGACAGGGTTCACAATTCCTTCTGAACGCTGCAAGGAGGAATGTGCTCCATGCCTCTCTACTTTGGGAGAATTGCTGGCAGTCCCTGGAATTCTTTTGCTTAGACACATCACCTTAATCTCTGTGTTTCATTTTCACATGGACCCATGTTAATGACCTCACCTTAACTTGATTTCCTTTGCAAGGACCTTTCCTTCAAATAAGGTCATATTCTGTATTTATTTATTTTGTACCAGGGATTGAACTCAGAAGCATTCAGTCACTGAGCCAAATCCCCAGCTCTATTTTGTATTTTATTTAGAGGCAAGGTCTCACTGAGTTGCTTAGTGCCTAACTGTTACTGAGGCTGGCTTTGAACTCATGGTCCTCCTGCCTCAGCCTTCCTAGCTGCTGGGGTTATAGGCATGCACCACTGTGCCTGGCTCAACATCTTTTATGAAAGACACTGTTCAACACATAACAATACTATACCAGGTTGTCTCACAGCAGCGGAGGGGAGGAGGCTCTCAAATCACACAGAATGGGGTTGGGATCCCAGCCCGATTTGTCTTTGTGACTGAGTTTCGGTTATTTCAATTCTCTGAGCCAATTTACTTCTTTGTAAAATTCAGGGGTTGGGGACACCAAGCTCATCAGATTTTTGTGTGAAGGTTAAGTTAAATATTAGGTCCATTTTAGGCACTTAATGAATGCTAGCTATTACTCAGATGATTAAGGTGTTAACACATGATAATAAATAATTGCTTTGACCCAAATGTATATTGCAATATTCTACTGTTGCTATGGAAATAGTATAGTGTTAGGGAATGATCCTAAGTTTGTCATTTAAAAAAATATAAGTAGCCTAAGCTGTCTTAATTTAATACTATTGATGCCATCATTTTTAATGTAATCTTGACTGTGGGGCTTCCAATCTCAATTCATCCTTTATTAATTGACACCTGTACTTGAATGCTTGTCCTTAGCTGAGATTTATTTGATATGAAATGATAGATATATCATGGGATTAGCTACTTACTTCAAAGTCATGTTCTTTCGTGATTTGTGTGTTGAAATGAATCAGTTGTTTGCAGTTGAAAAGCTAATGAACTACTCACAGAACTGAAAAGCACCCCCAAAAGTTTAGAATTTGAATGTGCTTGTGCTTCTGAGGAGCACACACCAGTTGCCTTTCAGGTATCATTTTGTCCTTGAAATGGATCACTAGCAGTTTTTACAACATAAATGGATGATTTTTTTGAAACTCAACCATTCTCTATTCAGGCTCTTCCTATAATAGTAGCTCTAAAGCACGTTTAGTCCTCTCTCTTTCCTTTCCTATCTTTTCTTTTTTTTAGCTTGTAAGGTTTATTAGTTTTCCCACCAGGGTGAACTGAGCAAGAGGCAGCTGCGGAGCTAATAGCAAGAACAGCTGGCTGTTATTAGTTCAGTTACTGCATATACCTGTGTCTGTTCACCTACAAACTGATAAATTTCATCCTTAAACACTAATGCTAAAATAGAAAGTGAATTGGTGCAAGAGTGAAAGAAATGAACATAAAAAGTGAAGACTTACTGTTTAGAAAGAAATGTGAGTTAAGTGCAAGAAAACAGGATTAGAACGTGATGGTAGTATCAAATGAGTCAGGATATGATTATCAAAGGGAGCAAAGAGAGAAGTGCCTGAGTAGTAAAGGCAAATGGGTCTATTTCAGACATTTTACACTGCCTTGGTCCAAGTGGATTAACACATTGGCATACTGTAGCCCCTGGCATTATTTTTCCACTTACATTTTTGGTCTGTCACTATACAATTTGTTTCAGGCTTAGCTTTTGGAATTAACTTAAAATGGATTCTGGGGCTTCCAGGAAGGGACAAAAGAGGAAAATAACAGCTGACATGAAAGTCACCACAAATCATTCACAGCTGTAACTGTACTGCCCATGTCCATTTTGTATTTACCAAGCTGAGTGCTAAGTACATCCCCATCCACTCCACACATTTTCTTTACAAGGGCTATAAAACGCTTGTTGAGCTATTAGCACTCGCTACAACTAGGGTTTCATTAAGGAGAATAGATACAGTACCTGGAGACGTCAGTCATAAAACTCCATTCGGAGCACAAATAGTGCTTAAAAGAGGCAGAGGGACAGCAAAAAAGAGAAGATGCTGTATGGCCATTAGGCTGGAGGGTTGGAGGGGGAGAAGCAGAAAGGAACTGAAGCAGAAAATTAAATGGTCTGATACTGACTTTGAATAATAGCTCTGGGTGACCCTGAATCTTACTACTGGAAGTGTGCACATATTAAAATTCTCCAGTTGTGATCAATTTTCTGTGTGCTAGATATCCCCCACCCCTATACATTAGGTGAGTAGGAAGAAACCAGTCATTTAAAAAAAAAAAAAAACTCTTGTAGGCTCTGCATCCATTTTATATCCTTTGTGAAATCTGGTGATTTCTTCTCCTTTCATTAACTCTTCCAGAAACATTGGCCCTGGTGTGGGCCCTTCACTCATCGGAATCTAATTATTGCCATCCATTCTGGTTCGGCTGCCCAGGCCAAGTGCTCAGAGACCACCACAAGGGAAATCAGGGCTTTGAGGGTATTTGTTAGCACTGCCAGATGCATCTCTACTGGGAGGTTATTTCCCTCCATTTTTATTAACTCTCCTTTTGTTTTAAAACTGCTCATGCTTTTCCATCTTCAATTATTTCCACCAATGATTTATCACAAAGTGAACCCCTACTTTAATTGCTGAACTTTCGTGTTCAGGCTTTGAGACTCTACAATAACCTGATTCCTCTAATGGTAATATTAAGGTAAAGACATGGCCCCTCTGTTTCTTCCTATGTTCTACATGGAGGTATTGCTCAACTACTCTTCATTTCTTTCAAGGAAGAAAGATTTTTTTCCTAAAAGAGTTTCTCTTCAAGATAATTTAAAAAGTAATTCACGACATTCCTAAAGAAGTACAGTATATCTTTAGAGAAGGATCTCCAGTTGGATTTTGACTTTCAGTTCATTGGGCAAAACAATAGCATTTAATTGTTCACATCTAGACTCAAGTTATTTCTGATTAACAGGAGCATAAAGACTATACATTTAGTATTTCTGAATATGTGAAAGGTAGGTAAGATACTGAAACTGCAATGATCAGCTTTAAAACATATTTTAATACTTTCCAGTATTTGATAATACTTTCAATATATTGGAATTGTTATTTCAATGAGAAAAGACTATATAAGTTATTAAATAATAATATCCAAAGAAGCCAAGATATTATTTTTAAACTCCCAAAGAGCCTAATAGATTCTCCTTTCTTCTCTCCATTAGTTCTAGAACCACCAAATACTTGCTTCTCTCCTTCACAAATAAAGTTTAGACCAGGGACACAGTGAGGAAGACCCAAAGTTTCTTCACATATGGTGACTGTATGGGTGTTTTGTTTTTGGTCCATGAGTGAGTTCAATAGACAACCACTGTGTTAGTTTTATGTTGCTGCTATTAGGAATTGCTGCAAAATCTTAGTGACATAAAACAACCCAAATTTATTATTTTTATGTCCTGGAGGTTGAAAGTCCCAAACAGCTCTCACTGAACTAGAATCAATGTGCCCACAGGGCCTCAATCCATTCTGAAGGCTCTAGGGCAAAATCTGTGTCCTTAATTTTCCCAGCTCTAGTGTTTGCCCACATTCCTTAGCTTGAGAACCTTCTGTATTTAAAGCCAACAGTGGCCACATCTCTCTCTTTAGTTTTGAAATATCTGACTTCTTTTCTCTTTTGAGAACCCCCTAACTACACTGGGCATTAGCAGATGAACCAGCATAATATCTGATTAGCAAACCTAATTCCATCAGCAATTTTCAGTCCCCCTTTCCAGGTAACACATCCAGGGATCAGGATGTGGACATTTTTGGAAGGCCATTAGTTAGTCTACCACACACCCCCTCCTAGAGGTCTGAGTTAAATTAGAGACAAGATTGACTCTTAAGATCACCTTGGAGATTTCTAATTACACCTGTACAGTATTATTTGAAGTCAACTATTACTCAAAAATTATGTTAAGTGCAATTAAAATTTAAAGTGCCTTCTTTAGTTTCTTATTTTTAAAGATGTGTCTGGATTTTGGATATGAGAGAGTATGATATAAGGGGAACTAAATGACTTTTGAGATGAAAAGGGTCAATATTTCCATTCCAATTTTACTTACTGAGCTTTGGTTTCCTCCACTTGAAAACAAGGAAGAGGCTGTAGAAAGGACAGCATTAGTCACACAAGGTTACTTAAGTAAAATGTTACTTAGTTTGTATTAATAATAATATACTCCATAATTCCTGTGATATGCAGGCAGCACATGATGGGTGCCTGGTAAATGTTACTGTTCCCTGCAATGCTCATGATAAGAGCAGTGCTCAAGCTTCACTGCATTCTTAGTGGTCAATGCTAATCTGGAACTTCTTATAGACCTCACAAAATACAAATTTGGTTTCTGGGTTTCTGCAAACCTGGGGACGAATTTCAACCTTTGACCTCAGTTGCTCTTGTGAGATTATCACAGAGCATAAAGTTAAATTGTGTGGTAACGTTATTATTTTTTTCCAAAATTGTGTAGAAGCTGTTTTGCTTCCTGATTTCAGTCAGGGTGCATTTAACCCTTGGAACTGATAACTTTCTGCTTCTATTTTTATTTCTCGCTCCCTTATCTATAATCCCACTCTTACAGAGTACAAGGAGAAATTGTTTTGATGGGGTACAAGAAATGCACAAATAATGTTTATGATTTGAAGTAAGGAAGTTAGTCTATCATAGTGCATGGAATACATAATCCTATGTGTTATGCTATTTAAGTTGTTTCTTAGATATATAAGCAGTATATTGTACCTAGGATGATAACAATAAGCTATCATATTCAGCTGTGAATAATTATATACCATTGGCAGAACAATGACTCACAAAAGATATACACGTCCTAATCCCTGGAACCTGTGAATGTTATTTTATATGCAAAAAGGGAATTAAGGTTGTCAATGAAATTTGCTAATCTTTTGACCTTTAGATAGAAAGATGATCCTGGATTATCTGGGTGATCCCAGTCTAATCACATGGCTTCTTAAAAGTGGAAGAAGAGGCAGAAGAGAGAACAAGAGGGACAAGAAGCTGAGAGGGACTTTAACTGACTTGGAAAGTGATATGAACATGAAAATTCCACCGAGCAAGAATGCAGATGGCTGTCAGAAGATGGAAAGAGCAACAAAACAACTTCTTTCCTAGACCCTCCAGCTAGGACTGTGAGGTCACTGGACTAACATACGGAAGTGTAAGATAATAAATCTCTGCTGTTTTAAGCCATCAAAAATGTGATCTTTTCCTAACAGCTACAGAAAACTAATATACATACTTTTCCTATATCTACATTATTATGGCAATTTACTGGTTAAATAGCTTAAACAAATTATTACATGGTAGCCACCTGAAAAATAGTCTCTGTTAATGTCATTTTAAATACTATTCTATTATTATTTTAATCATGTACTTTAATTCAAACATATTTTAATGAATAATTTCTTCTAAAATTATACACTCCATAGACAATATTTTCATAAAATCATTTATGCTTCTACCTTTTCATGATAGGTGGAGATCTGACAGAAAACTTTACAGGCGATTTCAGTGAAAATGTATTAAAGTACGTGGCATTGAAATGGCATAATAGTATGCAAAGAATTTTATTTCAGATCTTCATGACAAATAAAAAATGACAGCCACAGCTGACCAGGACAAATGATGTTCATGTTTTTCAGATGTGAGGGAAAAAAAAGTCCATTTACCTTTAAAGGCCACTTACTGTTCATGTCTATCACACCTGTAGTCTAATTTATTAAAGTTTTAAAGTTTGAAAACTCTATATAAGATTTCATGAAGATCCTTGTTCTATCTCAAATTTGCCACAGTGTTGTTATAAGGAAGGGACGTGTATTTCGTAACTAATCACTCTGGCACCTCTGCTGAGTAAACATCAAGCATTTTGGAAAATTCCACATATCCCTCCTCTTCACTCAAAAGAGAAACTGAGACAGGATCAAAACTGTTCCAGATCATTGAAGACTCTGGGTAGGATGGGAAGTGAGCCTATGTCGGAGAGCTCAAAGGCTCCCATTTTCTGCTTTGCCTCACTGCAGTGTGTCTTCCGTGAAATGCATTCTTTCTCCAAGCTCTCATGTAATAGTCACACTGTTGTCTATTCCCTTTTACTTTCCACTTCAAAACAGACAAATAAGGACACGGAGGGAACATAAGTGAGAAATACTTCAAAGTCAGTTTTCTGCTTGTCATGGCCTAAACTTGTCTTTCTCCAATCCCAAGAGAGACTGGCTGGAAGACTGAGGTTTGACTTGAACACTTAAGAATGTTCCGGAAGTGTGCTTTGTAGCAATGCCCCTGAAGAAAATGAATGTTTCCTTCACGAGCCGCTGTGAAGCAAGGCAATGCACACAGAGACGCATCGTTCATCTTCTTCTGGCTCGAGGGGCTTCTCCCACCAGCCTGTTTGACATATAAAATTTCCACCTCACTTGGTGGTAAAGCTGCCTGCTGCTTCCTCTGTATAGGGAAAAGTGGAGAGAGTTCTATAAAGGTAAAGGAGTTGTGACTTCTGTAAAAGGAAAGTACAGAGAATTGAGTGGGAAGGGACATAAAAGAGGAGACACAATTAAACTTAGAATAAGTGGAAGATGGTAAAAGAACTGAAATCCTACCAAGAAAAGGATCATTGTGTAACCTCATAGATTTCAAGGACCATTAAAAAAAAAAAAAGGTTTAAAGACTGGGTTACAATATAACAATCAGGTTTCTACAAAAGGCTCCTGTGATCCTGTCCACTTGTGCTTAGGCAGGGCTCCCAGCTTCCTGATGGAGGTGGTATTCCTGCAGGGGGTAACATTTATATTGGTACTGTTAGTTTCTCATTCGCATCACTGAATCCAGGTAAAAATGGAAGCCACATGCCCATTTTAAATACCAATTGCTGATTAAAAATTCCCTCCGCTCCCGAGCATCTTTAGGTCTTCAGTCTGTATGCTTCTCTGACCACAGTCCTTACAGTGCAGCTGTTGATGTGATCATGCGGGAACCTTAGTTTGTGTCTTTATGGCTGCTTGGGTCCATTTCTAGGATCTGTCTTATCAGGCATGTCCTTTTCTTTTTACTTTCCTCTTTATTTCTTGGGGTTTTGATCTTGTCATCTGTAAAAATGGTGGTTAAAACTCACCATGTTCTCTCGAGGGTTAAGTGAGATGACATATAGGAAAATGCCTAGCATACTCCCTGAACTCAAATGTTCTCTAAACGTTAGTTGTGTTCTTTCTATACCTTTTTGCCTTGCTCCTTATAATATATATGTATTCTTTCACTTTGGCACTTCTTCTTTGTTTCTTTCCTGTTTGTAACTTGTAACTTGCTTCCCGACGGTCCTGACGAGCCTGTGGGATTCACGTGTGACACTCTAAAGTGTGACAGCTGTTCTGTTTGTGGCCAGCTCACTTGAGAGTCATTGACACGGTGGACATCATCATAGTTCTAAGCCTAGGTTACCACTGAAATCACTGTCGTGTTTGCTTGTCTGTCTGGATTTGTGTGCAGTTGTCTGAAATGGAGAAGTAACGACATAGAGCCAGAATGTTCTGTTGCTGTGTATCTGAAAAGACTTGATGAGTGGGCAAGCAGTCCTGTCAACATTGTGAAAGTCCGAACGATAATAAATGCTGTAATTTTCAGCAGTGTCATGTGGAAACTTATTCAGCTTTCAAATTAAATGATGAATATTTGTTGATTGTATAATGTGCTAATATTTGGAGATATGATGGTGAGTAATTAGCACAATCTTATGTTTAGATAGGCCCGAATAGTTTATATAAAAGTTTATGTGTGTACTTTTTAAGCTTTTTAAAAAATTTTTAAATTAATGATAACATACACAAAACACTTACCACCTTAACCACTTTAAATAACACAGTACCTGGAAGTGAGTATATTCACTTCTAGAACCATCATCATCATCATCCAACTACAAAACTTTTTCATCTTGCCAAACTGAAACTCTGTGCTCATTAAACAATGACTCCCCATTAGCTTTTCCTCCCTGCACAAGGAAACCACTATTTGATTATCTTTATGAACTTGACTGCTTTAGGTAGTTTATGTAAGAGGAATCATATAGCACTTATTTTGTTTTTGTGGCAGGCTTATTCCACTTAGCATAATGATAAAATTTCATCCATTTTGTAGCATATGTCATAATTTTCTTTCTTTTTTTCTTGTGTGTGTGGGGGTACCAGGGATTGAAGTCAGGAGCAATCAATCACTGAGCCACATCCCCAGCCCTATTTTGTATTTTATTTAGAGACAGGGTCTCACTGAGTTGCTTAGTGCCTTGCTTTTGCTGAGGCTGGCTTTGAACTCATGAACTCATGAGTCAGCCACTGAGATGACAGGTGTGTGCCACATCACACCCAGCAGAATTTCCTTCCTTTTTAAGGCTAAATAATTTTACACTGTGTGCATATACTACATATTATCTCTTCAGTCTGTCAATGTCTCTTGGTTTGCTTCCACCAGTTAGCTATTGTAACAATGCTATGAAAGTCTGTATGTATAAATACCTATCCATATCCCTGTTTTCATTTCTTTAGATATATACCCAGAAATGAAACATTTATTCATATCATAATTTTATGTTACTTTTGGGGGGCAGGGATCCATCATACTGTTTTCCATGGTGACCTTACCATCTTGCATTCCCACTAGTGGTACACAAGCATTCTAATATTTACACATCCTAACTCATATTTATTAGTTTCTGAGTTTTTTAAAAATATAATAGTCACCCTAATGGGCATGAAGTAGAATCTTGTGATAACTCATTTTGATTTGCCTTTTCCCAATAATTAGTGATGTTGAGTATTATTTCATGTGCTTATTGACTGTATATCTTCTGTGGAGTAGAGTCTATTCAAGTCATCTACCCATTTTTTTTTAATCACATTGGGTTTTTATTGCTGTTATTTGTGATGGGATAGTGATATATTTTTAAAGCTAAAAGAACAGCAATAGTTCTTAAAAGAATGTTCATTATGAAAAGGCTCTTTTATCTGCTATTGTTTCAAGTATTCTTATAATTTAAAAAATATATTCTGGGTGTATTCTATTTAACTATGTTCTTTCAGTGATGTAATTTCAATAGCTAAATATTAAGTAGGTCATGGATGAGATGTGCCTCCTATTATGTTATATGGTCACTAAGGTCAGCCCTCTTCAGGAGAAAGCCATCTCAGAACCACTGCTGTTTTATTCTCAGCTTTTTGTAAAGGGAAAAGTCTTTTTGGGATGACTTTTCACATGCTAATTCATTACATTATTGGAAAAGTAAACTTCTAAGGTGTTTTGAAGGTGGATTTTAAAAAAATTTCTGTATATAGAAAGATTTTTTAAAATGCCAAGGAATAAACTGTAGACATATCCTTTAGGGCACTGCAACACTTGTTAATGAAGAACCTTGGTTAGATGTATCAGTAACATTATTTTAATCTTGTATTTTATGATATGTCAACCGAAACTAAACTAAATTTTCAATATATCCCTGAGCATACTTCAGGCATATGAATGACTTATGTATTCTAAGATATCATTCTACCTTATATAAATATACTTGATGCTATTTTCTTGCTGACAGTAGAATAAAATGTTAATAATTTGGTGAGTCCCTGCAATTTTACTATTCATTTCTTTCTGGCTCTACATAACATTTAGTGAGCACTAAACCCTAAAAGACTTGGCAATTCAGTTTGAATAACTACTAAAAACTACATATGCTTACTCAAAATAACTGAGCCATTTGATTCTGCAAAAAGAAGTTGAACAATCCCCAAAGAACAGATTCTTATGAAATAGGAGGATGCAAACTGACTTTCATTTACATCCCTGGATATTTTTTCCAAGAAAATTACATTCACCTGCATATTTCTTTACATAAATATTTTCTATTTTTAAAAAAGTGGCTAGAAACTCATTCAGGGTAATTTAAGCACTGCTCTACTTAGATTCTGAGGGATTAAAATTATAGATTCTCTTCTATTCTAGGGTTAAAGCTTGTTCTAGAATTCTCCTAATTCATTCATTCCTGTTATATTAATCTAAATATTTTAAGGAAATTGTTAAATACAAATGCAAAGTATGTAACTATAGAATTATTTGTTTGCATGAACTTAATATGTACTATGATACAATCCATAATAATATATAATGATCAGGAATCATATTTATATATATATATTTAATAATATTTGTTGGCTCTGTGCTATGCTGAGCATTGTGTTAGGTACAGAGTATACCCTGCTCAACAAGATATAAATAAATGATCACTGTCTTCATGGAGATTGTAGTTTAGTGGAGAAGAAAGACCATAAATATGTAAAAAAGCAAAAAAATCAAAGTTCCACATAAATGTATTTTGGTAAATGACACAAAGAAACAATATTCAGAGAAAAAGAATAATGTAGCCAGAGAGCAAAGGTGATCAGAAAGGGATTCCATGGTTTTTGGCTGAGAAGTGAGGGTTGAGATAAAAAAGATTCATTCCAGTTAAGCATTATCTCTTTCTTTGTGTGTGTGTGTGTGTGTGTGTGTGTGTGTGTCAGTGTGTGTGTAGTATGTGTGTGTGTGATTATGTGTGTGTGTGGTTAATGTGGTGTGCATGTACGTGGTGTGTGTGGTTTATGTGTGCATGTGTGTTAGTGGTGGGTGGTTAGGAAGCTGGATCTAGTATTTCAGAGAAAAGCAAAAGGCAAAACATCAAGAGAGGAGTGAAGGTAAGAAAGGACTGAAAATAACAAACACAGAAGGAAAGCAGGGCAGCAAAGTGGAAAGAGGAGAGGTTGAGACGCAAGCCATGCTAGGCAGCAGTCAGGCTACCTGCACTAAGGTGAAGACTCCACGTTTTATTTGATGTTCCACAAGAAACCATGAAGGAATTTTAAGCAGTGCGAGTACATGATGTAATGTACTTTTAAAAATTATGTATTCTAACTGCTATTTGCAGAATATATTAGGGGGAATTGAAGACCAATACGGAGGCTATTTTGGTGGCATGGCTGGGTGTCCAAGTGGAAATAGAGGGAAACAAAAGAACATGTACTGTTGTCTCTTGATATTTTCTGAATGAAATACATTTTGTCTGTGTTCCTCTCACACAAAAGCACAATAATCCCCTTTCTATTTAGGATGAAGAGCATCATTTTCCCCCCAACAATGAGCAAAAGCTACATCATAAGCAACATCATTCATTTTTTGTTCCCCAAAAAGTCTATCCTAGAATTGAAGTTGGAATACAATTAGATGATTTGAATTCTATAAGACCCTTAGAGAAAAGCAGAACTCACATGCTCTTTAGCTTTTTGCTAATCACAGAAGGAAGAGGCAAAAGACATACAAGTATGAAGGCCAGAGGAAACTGAGATTTTAGTGAATAGCTAAATGCTGAGTGTGTGGTAGCTTGAGAGTTTGAATCTGTGGCAACCCCAGATGAGAAAACCTGTTCCTCTTCATCCTTCTGTTCCATGGGCCTCTACTGGATGCTCATGAGAAACCTCAGAATCAGGCAGAATGCCTCAGGGATAGGCAGTTAACTACTGATGGCTAGGCAGGAATGCCAGTTGCATTCTGGAATCTTATCTGAGCCAAAAACTGCTGCTGAGGAAGGAAAAAGGAATATTTTCTTCTTCCCTTAATGAAGAGAAAGGACTGGGT